AGACCTCTTCACCATGTATGGGCCTGAAGCTTGCAGTTAGCAACACGTGCGAGGTTGGAGCGCAGGTCGTTTCCAACATTGGGCCCCTGCCTCAACGCAACGCGCATTCGTCTTACAAGCTTGCAGCGGCTACGAGGCAGGGGGCGCGTTCCAGGCTGAAACTCTCGCTTTATACGGGCTCCCAACTTCGCGCTTCGCGCAGCGCGAAGCGCGAAGTGCGAATAACTTCGCGCTCTCGCGCCGCCTCCCAGGGGAGAAGAGCAGGAGGAAGAGGAATCGGAGCCGAAGCGCGACGCGCGAAGCGCGAACAACTTCGCGCCCTCGAGGGCGCCCCTGCTTCAGCTTTGGACGCCCGAAATGGGTACCGAAAAAATGGGTACTATGCCCAACAGCAAATGTTGTCCCAAACCAACAGCGGCCGCTGTTGGGCAGGCGGCCTCCTGTCTCGAATGGACACAGGCCGCGGCGGCGTGGACAGCGAGCCCTGTTCAAACTGAACAAGATCCGCTGTTGGGCATTGTACCCATTCTTTCCGTGCCCATCTCGTGCGTGCAGAGCTTTAGCGCCGTGCACACTTGCCCTGACAGCCGGCAGCGTCCACGGAGGTGTTCGCACACGTCGTTCTCAGTCCAGGGGCCCTCGCCTGAGCGCCGCGCGGCCTTCGGCCCCCCCCCAAAACGCTTGATGCAGGGAGGGGCCGCAGCTTCTCTTCGGAACGGGGCGGCCGCCTCGGCGCCGCGCGCACTCGTGTTCTCTGATGGGCCTGTTTCCCACCACCACAACCAGAAGTTGGAGGGGGAGGGGGTCCTCCTCCTCCTTCTCCTCCTCGTCCGCCTCCTCCTCCTTCCCCCTCCAACTTATGGTGGTGGTGGTGGAACTCAGGCCCATCATTTTCCCGACTTTGCAGCAGATGCGAGGGTGCCAGGGCGGCTCCTCTTCAAGCTGGGGCGCTCGATTGAACCCGCGTCAAGATTGCAGACCAGGGGTAAAAAAACATCCGCTCAGGCGGGGGCGGCTCCTTTTCAGGATGGGGCCCTCGCCTGAGATTTCCTCGAAGCTGATTGCTGGCAGCGCAAACTTGTGCAACAGAGGGCAGTGTTTTCTCAACCTGGAGATCTCGCTGGGTACCTTTCTAAACTGCAAGGTCATACGTCTTCGCGTTCCTTGGTGCGCGCTAGAAGGATGCAAGGTAGTTACTGCTGTTTATAAACACAAGGAATCGTATGCCCATGGGGGCGCAGGTCTCCCAAGGGAAGGACGCGCTTCTTACAGTGAGAAAGAAAGTGCACTCGTGGGTTGGGGACTTGGGGCCGGAAGGGGCATATTGCAGCATCGCTGATGCATGTTCGACTAACTATGGTCCTCCTCCTCCTCCTCCTCCTCCTCCTCGTGCTCCTCCTCCCCCTTTTCCCTCCGTCCGCACATGTACCCACACTCCCCGAATCGGCCTGCGTGGAGATCTTGAGTGGTGGCACCCGACGTTGCCAGCTGTGTGCTGCATTCCAAGACGATGCTAAAATTAACCCTCCACACCACGTCGGCAGCGTGTAACGAGCTGTCGCCTCATCCACCTGAAGCTCCTCCTTGCCCCCCAGATCCTTATCCTCATCATCGCCACCATCTCCGCCCGCTTCCTTCCGATGCTGCCCTCCATATCGCGCGAATGTTCATGGGGGCGCAAGTAGGGGGGGGGGGGGGGCGCAAATGGGGGGGGGGAGAACGTTGCTCCACGCGAACGCTCCATTTCAGACGGCGGCTCTCCCCTGCTTGCGGCTCAGCTTCGAACGCGGCCACCGAGCTGCGACGCTGAGCAGTCGCACGCGGTAGCCTCCTGCTCAGACATTCTGACATGCAGCACCAGGGGGGCGGCCTCGAGTTGCAGTGCGTGAGGGTGTCCCAGGAATGTCCCTAAACTGAAGGGGACCAAGGACACACAAATAAATACACACCAATAACAGGAATTCCCAAATGATCCCATATTTTCTGGGTTTTGTCTTCCCCCCCGCTTGCCATAGTTTCCCCAGATTTTCCTGGGGATCGACGATGACTTGTGTCTGTGTGTGTGTTTCCCCCTCCTGATAAACTGCTGCGGTGGGTCAAGAAGCGTCCCGGAAGTATTCCCGCAAAGGGGCCCGGTGCTGCCCTGCACCAACCAAAGGAACCACGGAGGGTGCGTCCGCTGTCGGCGGGGCACGCCGGCAGCGCGCACGCGGCCCCGGGCGTCGCCGCGCAGCCCCTTGGATTCTGGCGTTGCTCTCTCAGCCAGATACTCTGTGTCCCTCAATAGTTTTGGGGCCCCGGACTACAGGTACCCCCGGACTACAAGTACCCCTCCCCCGGACTACAGGTACCCCCCCCGGACTACAGGTACCCCCCCCCCCCGGACTACTGCAGGTACCCACCCCCGGACTACAAGTACCCCCCCCCCCGGACTACAGGTACCCCCCCCCCCGGGACTACAAGTACCCCCCCCCTCGGACTATAGATACCCCCCCGGACTACAGGTACCCCCAAAACTATTGAGGGACACAGAGTAATGCCAGATGCTTCGCTCGCGTTGGTGCCACTGCGCAGTGAGCCGCTGGCGCAGTCCCCGCGCCGAATCTGTTCCAACAGGTGCAGAGCAACAAGGGGCCCCTCAAGGGTCCCTGGGTGCTGTTTTCGCCAGTTGTCGACCCACCGCCTCTACTCCACAAGAAACATCATCCTCATCGTAATCGTCATCCTCCCCTGCCTCCCCCACGTCCCTTTTCTTCCTCCTCCTCCCCCCCATTCCTTCTCCCCTCCCACCTTCTCATCATCCCTCTGCTCTTCCATTTCCACTTCCTCCGCCATGTCACCCCTATCTGACCCCTTCTCCACCATCTCCACCTCCTGGAAGACCAAAGAAGAGGAGGAGAGGAAGAGACATGCTGTGAGAGGAACGATCACAGCGGCGGTGCAAAACCATGTCTGACGACTGCGCGTGCGGCTCTCATGGTCACGGTCGCGCTGCTGTTGCACAGATGTCGCAAGCAGAGGGGCAGAGCTCTGCGAGCGTCCAAATGCAGAATGCAGCACGGTCAATAGCATGCCACGTCAATTGCTAGCATGAGAAGTGTCGCGGCCTCGCAGCAAAAAATACAGCATCCGGGTCCACTTTGACTGTCCAATCGTGGAACTTGAAGCGGCCGTCATTGACGACACTGTGAGAAATCAGCACATCACAATCGGACTCACTGAGAAAGTGAAGATGGCAATAAAGCACCAATATCAACGGATATGCATGAGCAGGGGACTGCTGGAGCGACATGGGAGGTATAGATCGGCCCACTCCTTTACAAGGAGACAAGGTATCAACGCACTGCGAAGAACGAGCTTTACGGTAGGAGTGCATGGTCACTCGCGCTTCCTGCCCCACTACAAACAAAAAGCCCGCATCTCGCATGGCCTGGCAGAGATTCAAGAACGCTCAGTGCCGCTACAATCGCCAGCCCCAGCGCAGCATCAGACTGGCGTGTGCTACGTACTGGCGCCCTCCTTGGTGTGCCCAAATGGTACGCCTGCTAACTCGCGATGATCATGGTGCTCTGAAAGGAGACGGAACAGGGGTGCTCGAGTTAAGTCGGGCATGTCCTCCTACAGGCGGATGTTGGACGAAACATGAAACATAATCAAAAATCCTCAAACAATAAAAGAAGCATCGCCCCCATAATATGTTTAAACTATTTTTGAATAGTTCCCCTGTAGAAGGACACAACCGACTTACATCTAGGCGCGAACGCGCGAGAGTGACATCCCCTGGCGGCTCCCTCTTTACGGTGCTCAAGTGCGACGCCTGCTGTACCGCGATGATGTTCTGAGCGTGAGTGAGTTCGAGTGGGAGTGCTTCTGGGCGTATGAGTCTGAGTGCGAATGAGACTGAGCATACGAAGCGGAATGTGAATGAGTCTCCCAAAGTATGAGTGGACCGAATGTATGTGGTAAGTCCTGAGTGCAAGTGCGTGTAGGGGTGCATGAGTTTAACCGCATGAGCCTGAGTGCGAGCGAGCCCGAGCATGAGCGAGGTGAACGTGAATAAGTCTGAACGTGATTGATCAGAGTATGATTGGATATGAATGTGAGTGGTTGGGACTGGGCCTGCGCGAGCCTGAGCGTGAGTAAACGAGAAGAGGGGGCAGACAGTGAGGAGAAGGAGGCGCCGCCCGCAAAACAAGAACTCCATCCATAATGCATGTGGAAACAGCATGCCGGTGCTGCTCCCCCTGCTCGTCCTCACACCATTGGTGCATGCACTGCGCATGCTGTGGGCGGTCCTGGTCCAGACCGCTACGAAGATGTCCAAATTCAGGGCCGTCCCGAACTCTCCACCCTTTGGGGGAGGCTGGGGTCATCGTCTTCCCGCTTCGCCTGGACCCCACTGCTCACCCCTTCTGCTCCCCTGCCCCGCCCTCCTCCCTCGTCCCCTCCCTGGCCCGCCCGCGCTCCAGTCCAGGTCCTCCAGCCCATTCCCCGTCGCCTCCTGCTCTTTCCCTCCCCGCATCCCTCTCCTCCGCCTCCATTCTTCCTCATCCTTCTCCTCTTCCTCCTCCTCCTCCCTTCCTCCACCACCTCCAACTCCTCCTCCTCCTCCTCCTCAGCATCACCAGCACTATCCTCTCACAACCCTCTCCATTCCTCCTCCTGCTCCTCTCCCGCCTCAATCTCATCATGATCAGCCCATCACACCCCTCAACCGCATGATCCTCATCATGCCTCCTTCTGCCTGATGGCTTTTTCCTCTGGAGGTCAATTGAAGCTCAGCTCGTCACTGTCCTCCTCCTCGTCCTCCTCTCGTTGCCAAGTTTTCCTGCTCACAGATGATCCGCCTCCACCTCCTCCTCCTCATCATCATAATCATCATATCATCATCATCATCATCATCATCATCATCATCATCATCATCATCATCATCATCATCATCATCATCATCATCATCATCATCATCATCATCATCATCATCATCATCATCATCATCATCA